CCGAGCCCAGCCTGCCCAGCTGCACGGCCATGCTCCGCGGGAGACCGCGCCGCAGCGGAGCGTCCCGAACCGGCGCCAGCCGCTGTGCGCAGGGGCGGCTCGCGGGCGTGGAGGCCGCTGGGAGTTGTAGTCCGGCTGCTGTCAGTCCGGCGCGGGCGGAGGCGCCTGGGCTCTGGGATAAGAATCCGCCGCGCCCGGGAGGGTCGGTGGGAGGGGCAGAGAGACAAGCCCCTGTGAGCCGAGAGAGATAAGAGAGGCTGTCTCGTCACGTACAGCCCAGAGTCTGCAGTTTGCTCAGCCGCACCAAAAAGACAAAAATAGGGCTGCCAGGCAGAGGATGCACGGAGCAAAAGCGTGTAAGAGACGCCGCATCCCGCCTGGCCACTGGCCGCCTGAGGGTTTCAAAGGTTTGAACAATACCGATCCTTGTGATACATGCACTGTTCATTTGCCCTGGGTCCTGGACCTTTGGAGCTTCAGGAGCTTGTAGCCTCGGGAGCAGAAGTGGAAAATTCCTTGCCTAGATGTTCTAAAGAAAAGGTAGTAGAGGAATTCTAAAGGAATCCTGGGAGAAGACTCTGGGATCAAGTCTGTGTCGTACTACTGTCCTTATAGTCTCCCCAAGAGTTTCTTCTACCTGCTTATTTGATATTTAAAATAGGGCATGTAGAGTGCCATTTTACTTCCTCGTGACTAGATATGATTGGGAAATATCTTGCAGCTTTTATTAGTACCTGCTTGCATTGCATAATGATCGCAATCCGGTGGAGAGTTGGCACATGTACACAACACGTCTTCTCCTTCTTCCCTCTCTTTGCACCCGCTCCCCCTCCATCTCTTGATGCCCTTCCCGCTTGAAAAAGATAAAGACACTCATCTTCTATTACATGGTCCTCCATTACTTTTAAACTTTGGTATGTGCAGCAACTTCTATAGTCAAGGCAAACATTCACACTTTGACGACTCTTCCCCTGTCTCCCTTCTGCCCAAAGCCCACTTCCCACCCCCACTTTAAGAGTGAGTTAAGAAGCTAACCAATCTCATATTCAGGGCTTTCTTGTTTCAGTTCTATGGTTCCTCCATATAAAGGGATGGTGCATAGACATAAAAATAGTTATCTTAACACTTTTTACAGTGGGCTAATTTGTCTTTCAAATATCGAGGACAATTTTAATGTTTAGTAGCATGTAGTAACGTGAGGCACTCACCATTGTGCCCCAGTTTTCCCCCAGGAGCTGGATAGCCACACACAGCTGTGTCCAGCAATGCTCACACTGGTACAAGATGCTAGCTGGGTAGGTATGTTTGCCTAAGCCTAGCGGCCAAGAGTCAGCCAAGGTAAAGGTCTGGATGGAGTAATGAGTCAACTAATTGTACAAAAGAAAAACCACTAGCTTGTAGCTGCAGTGCAGCCTACCAGGGGGCCAAGTTAGAAGTGCAAAGCAAAGATAAGAGTTATCACTTCAGGCGGGGTTGTTGCCTCCTCTGGATTCCTGTGATGGGGTTCGGTTGGACCTTGTGATGATAAGTGAATTAACATAAAGGAAACACCATGACACATTTATCTGTAAGACACACTTGTTCAGTGTTGCTCTAATTCTGCAAATACTCATTAAGTGAGTAGAAGGTAAGCAGCAACAGACCACTTTAAGTTTTTTCCTGGTCACAAAGGCTGGCCCTAAGCAATCTGTGTACTAGCTCCAGGTTTCCATCCTTCCCAGTCTTTTATGTCTTTGTACAAAGGTTTTTTTTTTTTTTTTCCTCCTCTGGTTCATAGCACCAGCCTTACCTCAATCTATTATGAAGGTTTCTGAGGAGGCGTTAATAGCGTGGCTAATATAAGCTGAAACCATCTTCCTGCCAGTTCCAATTGTTCCTAAGTGGGTTATTTACATTTAAATCTCAATGTCAGTATGGAACAAAAATGGTTTTTTTCCTCTCTAAATAATCTTATATATCACAAAGCTAGTGGAAACAAACAAAAATTTATAGTGAGTTGTGAAGCACTTGGTATAAATCAGGAGTCCTCATCTACTTTTGAACTCAATTTTCTGCCTTATATTACATTATTTTCTCTATGAGTCTACAAGCCGTAAATTCTGACTAGTGTATATAAACTCAATAGGCATAAGGAATATAAATGCCGCTTTCAAACCTCACATGCTTCTTAGAATCCTTATACATTTTACCTTTGGCTTATGATTTGTCCTATGATTTTCGACCTGCTTATCAATCCTTATGAGTTTTATCCTTTTCGTTACTCATGCCATGATTTTAACGCTGCTGGTAGCATATTATTCTTCCCGTTCTTAGAGAGAATTTCAAGGCACCCCAACTTCATCCCTCTGGTTTCTTTACCGCCTTCTAGCAATACAATCCACACCCTATAATTCCATTATCTTTACACCCTATAATTCCATTATCTTTACACCCTATAATTCCATTATCTTTACTAAATTGTGTTTTTTCATCAGTTCTCACATTTCCAGAGCCAAATGCAAGAGATTTATTATCAAAAAGGCTCTCATTTTTGTTGCTTTCAGGTTTCAGAAACTTAAGCTAATCAGTAACAAAGTATGCTAAGTATATGTGTTTGTGTTGACATGCTCCTGCCCAATTTAGACATTCTGGTGAGGGTTATGCAGATTGGTGTTAATTAATAAGAGGAATTTTTGAAATGTTTCACTTTGCTCTTGTTTTAGAATTTAGATTTTAAACATCAGATGATTACAGGCAAATGTTTACATACATAGGTGGAGGGAGGGGGTGCCAGGGAAGGAGAAGGAAATGAAAAAAGAATTAAGGTGTTTTACAGGCATGTACCAACTCCTTACAAAGAGTGTAATCATTATGTGTTGCAAACGTGTGCCAATGAAAAAGAATTGCCTTAAAGCTATATGTAGACTAAGCATGTAATATGATTGTAGTTAGTTTGTTTTTTCTTTAACAGAAATAACTTTTTAATTAGACTCTCACGGATATATAGGTACTTTTCAAATATTTAAAGAAAGGTTTATAAAAGGGAAAAACTGATAGTGTCTGCCTCTCTTGTCCTTTACTTTTTGCCTTTACCTTCTCTCTAATTCTTCTCTATACTAATGAGAATATGATGCTTGAATTTTTAGAAACCACTTTGTGACCAAAAGTATGAAAGTTCCATTAAACCGTGAGTATTTACACAGTGACTGAGGAAGGAAAAGCTACATGGTGTACTCTGTACTATGGCCTCTAAACACGTGTGTCAGAAAGGGCAAACTTCAACCTTGTTTCGGCAACTTCATTCTGGGTACTTTTATTTACACTTGGCGCTAATTTAAGCATCTTGGATAGCTTCCTGCTAAAGGATAAACAACAGCCTGACTAACAGAGGGTTTATGCACATCACACTAAATAGTTAATTGATTCTCTCAATTCCAACTTGTATCTAAAAGGGGCAAGAGGGGGGAAAATGATGGCCTTAAGTCTAAAAGCACCCTTTCTGCAGCAATAAACTGACCAGGACCTATTAATGATATCATAATTAATTAATGATATCATAAAGACAATTAATGATATCATAAAGACAATTAATGATATCATAAAGCTACCATAGATATGAATAAAATCTGCCTCTTGCAGAGTGGTTTTGATATTTGCCACTTAGCAGTTATTGTCTACTGAGGCTTTGAATTTCCATTCTTAATGAGTACATGTGTTGGAATGTGGGCTTTAAATATTCTATTGAATTTCTAAAAGAAATGGAAGTAAATGATAGAGACCGTTATCTGGCAATTTATTGATTTATATAAATTTTTGTGACAAAAATAAATTTAAAGTCTTATTAGCCAATGAAATCATTGACTGGAAATAAATTATCATGGCAGAGCACTCAAAGACCAGCCACCTGTCTTTGAAATCATTTATCATGCTACAAACATTAAAATAAGTATGTCATGAATCTTGGTGGTTCTGTAAGAAGCAGATGAAAAACATGTGATACTTCAACCACAATTGTGTAACACTCATATATGTATAGCAGAAGACAGCCGTTAGTCCCCAAACCAGTATGTAACAAAACCATCAGGGAATCTTGTTAAAGATGCATATTCCTAGCTTGTGGAGAGGCTGGTGAACCTGCATTTTAAACGAGAGCTCTATAAGACCATGGTTAGACCATGGCTCAAGGAGCCCAACAGGTAGTTTGAAACTTGGCTCTGCCAGTTGTAAACTTGGGCTTACCTAACCCTGTGGCTCAGTGTCCTCATCCATCAAATGAAGTTATAAGTATTTCATGCCCCTTAAGTAGTGGTGATGTTTAAATGAATTACTGAAAACAGAAATACCAGACAATAAATATTAGCTCCGTTGTTACAAGTGTTATTTTTAATAAACATGTTCACTAACATTGTTGCAGAGCACCTGAGAACCACTCTTGGGAAACACAGGACTGTTTTAAAAATAAAAAGGAGAATTTTTTGACACTGTATTTGGTGGCTTTGACCTTCATCCCGAACTGTAAGGGAGTGGCAGGAACCAAAGGTGCAGAGTCAAGAATGGAGCAAGAGAGGGCTGTTCTTTGTGTGCTCTGCCAAGGGTTTGTATTTTACTCAGAATTCAGTCAAAACACATCAAAACACATCGAGATGGAAGATAGTCTATCGTTCATATTGGCAAGTGTCAGATGTGTATTCTTTTTCTATCTAAGGTGACAGGTCCAAAGAACGAGGCAC